TTCAATAGTATGTGAACTGAGAACTTTTAGATGTATGAGCTCAAATTAGAAAAGGCAGAGGAGACAAAAGAACCAGATGTCAAATTGCCAACATTTGTCAGATCATAGAAGAAGCACAGGGATTCCAGAAAAACATCTACTTTGTCTTCATTTACTGTGTTAAAGCCTTTGACTGTGTGGACCACAACACACTGTTTAAAGTCTTAGAGAGATGGGAATACCTTACTTGTCTCTTCAGAAACTTTTATGTGGGCCAAGAAGCAACAGTCAAAACTGGACATGGAAAAATACACTGGTTCAAAATTGGGAAAGGAGTATGTCAAGGCTGTATATTTTCACCCTGCTTTTTTAACTTCTTTACAAAGTACATCGTGAAATTCTGGGCTGTATGAAGCACAATCTGGAAACAAGATTGCAGGGAGAAATATCAATAACCTTAAATATGCAGATGGCACCACCCTTATGGCAGAAAGTGAAGAGGAACTAAGAGCCTCTTGATGAAAGTGAAAGAGGAGAGTGAAAAAGCTGGCTTAAAGCTCAACATTCAAAAAATGAAAATTATGGCATCTGGTCCCATCACTTCATTGCAAATAGAAGGAGAAAAAGTGGAAACAATGACAGATTTTATTTTATTGGGCTCCAAAACCACTGTGGACAATGACTACAGACATTAAATTAAAAGATGCTTACTCCTTGGAAGAAAAGGTATGATAAACCTAGATAGCATATTAAAAAGCAGAGACATCACTTGCCAACAAAGGTCTGTATAGTTAAAGCTGTGGTTTTCCCAGTGGTCATGTATAGATGTAAAAGTTGGACTGTAAAGAAGGCTAAGTGCTGAAGAATTAATGCTGTCTAACTGTGGTGTTGGAGAAGACTTGAGGATTTCCTGAAAGTAGATGCAACCAGTCAATCCTTAGGGAAATCAATCTCGAATATTCTTTGGAAGGACTGATGCTGTAGCTGAAGCTCCAATACTTTGACCACCTGATGCAAAGGGCAAATTCATAGGAAAAAGACCCTGATGCTGGGAAATATTGAGGTCAAGAGTAGAAGGGAGTAACAAGAGTATAAGATGGTTGGAAGGCCTTACCAGCTCAATGGAATGAGTTAGAGCCCAATCCGGGAGGGAGCGAAGTACAGGGAACCCTGTCATGCTGCTGTCAATGAGGTCCCAGAGTAGGACACACCTTGGTGACTGAACAACAATTAATAACCTAATTCCATCTGTAACTTTAAATCTTCTCTAGGTAGAACCTCTTTTTGGTCTTCTACTGCATCTATATGCATTCTTTTGTTTTTGCCTCTTTCATACAGTAAATTTTACAAAATATCTTTTCTACCTCTACTGTGAGGTTTGGGTATTATTCCTGTTCATTCTCTCTGGCACCATTTCTTGTTATTGTCAAATTATTCCATAGATGCATGCATTTAAGTAGATTTATAATATTATTAGGGCTGCACTAGTGGCACTGCTGGTAAAGAACCTGCTTCCCAATGCAACAGACATAAGAGACATGGGTTCTATCCCTGGGTTGGAAAGGTCCCCTGGAGGAGGGAATGGCAGCCCACTCCAGTATTCTTGCCTGGAGAATCCCATGGACAGAGGAGCCTGGAGGACTATAATCCACAGGGTCACAAAGATTTGGACAGGACTGAAGTGACTTAGCACACATAAAGTCATGAATCCATAAAAAAGTTCCAATTGAATTTTACTAGGTCATACAATTGTAAAATATTTATTATCTGAACTACTTTATACTAGATGTCTGGTCAGTTCAATTCAGTTCAGTCGCTCAGTTGTGTCCGACTCTTTGCGACCCCATGAATCACAGCATGCCAGGCCTCCCTGTCCATCACCAACTCCCAGAGTTTACTCAAACTCATGCCCATCGAGTCGGTGATGCCATCCAGCCATCTCATCATCTGTTGTCCCCTTCTCCTCCTGCCCCCAATCCCTCCCAGCATCAGGGTCTTTTCCAATGAGCCAAGTCTTCGCATGAGGTGGCCAAACTATTGGAGTTTCAGTTTNTCCTTTTCCTATTTGGAACCAGTCTGTTGTCCCATGTCCAGTTCTAACTGTTGCTTCCTGACCTGCATACAGGTTTCTCAAGAGGCAAGTCAGGTGGTCTGGTATTCCCACCTCCTTCAGAATTTTCCACTGTTTATTGTGATCCACACAATTGAAGGCTTTGGTGTATATGAAAGTTGGACTGTAAAGAATGTTGAGTACTGAAGTATTGATGCTTTTGAATTGTGGTGCTGGAGAAGACTCTAGAGAGTCCCTTTGATAGCAAAAAGATCAAAAGAGTCAATGCTAAAAGAAATCAACCCTGACTATTCATTGGAAGGACTGAGACTGTAGTTTAAGCTCTGATATTTTGGCTATTTGATGTGAAGAACCGACTCATTGAAAAAGACACTCATGTTGCGAAAGGTTGAGGGCAACAGGAGAAGGGGGTGACAGAGGATGAGATGGTTGCATGGTATCACTGACTCAGTGAAGACAGTCAAGGACAGAGAAGCCTGTTGTACTGCTGTCCGTGGGGTCTCAAAGAGTCAGACACTATTTAATGACTGAATAACAACATTGCAAGTTTAGAAACCTTCTCTTTTCAATTATTTGCTCTGATTTTGTTGTTCTTTCAAGTAAAAGGATTTTAATTCTAACACCACTCAAAAGGATGTTATTTCTTACCCAAGGGGTAAAGTAGAAAGTGTCTCATTTGTCTGTGGCTAGAGAAGATCTCTGTCTCACTGATTGAACTTCCAAAACCAGACCCCTACCTAGTAGCAACTAATTGTAGGTCTAATCAGACTACACTGAAGAAAGTAAAGAGCCTTGCAGAACAACGGTACTTAACTAGTGTTTAAGATGCAACACTTCCAGCATGTATTTCATTATATTGTTCTTTGAATCTTTTTTTTTTTTTTGGTCTGGTGTGTCTTATTTAGGTAGCCTTTTGACCCAATGACCTAAGCTAGGAATCTCACCGGTCTTCCCATGTGGTGCTGTGAATCTCAATATAAATCATTTTAATGGTCATTGCTACCCTGTTAGTGAAACTACCCAATGTCTTGCAGTTTAAGTCTAAATACAGACTTCTGGCAGACTTCCTTCTTGGAGAAGGGCAGTCTTTTTTTTAATGTTTTCAACTGTTGGATGAGACTCACTCACATTATGAAGGTTAATCTACTTTACTCAAAGTTTAATCATTCAAGTGTTAGTTTCATCTCAATAAATGTCTTTACAACAATATCCAGACATTTTTGACCAAATATCTATGAACTGTAGTGTAAATAAATTAATATAATACTGATCATCTCAGTTGGTTAGCACCGGGTATGATTAAGAACAGAAGGTATACAGGAGATCGGACATATCACAGTCAAATTCTTTGTTCTACTTCCACGGGGTAACTTCCTAACACAACCCACTGAGTCAAGAACGTGTAATTCAAATCAGTGAATAGATGATGCTGGGGACTGCACATGATCATATAAGTAGTTTAGAGTAGATACACAAGCACTAAAGAATTACAAAGAAATCTGTTCAACCCACTAGAGGTGAATCTACAACTTACCTAGATGTAAAAACAGAAAATAATCATCCAGTATCTCATAATGTCTCAAGCATTTGATATAGATAGTGTCATTGAAAAGCACAAGGTGCCAGTATTTATGAAAGCCAAATAAGGATGCAGTACATATCACCAGATAATAGATGAAGAAAGAGAGTCTTGCAAAGGCTAATTTGCTTAAGTTTATGTGACTCCAAAATCCATACAAATAACCCCCAGTTATGAAATTAATGGACTCTGCAGTTGTCCCAGTTTCAATTAAAGTTGATGTTTCTAGAAGTGTTGAGTAAACTGTCACTAAATTTCTGTTGAAAAATTGTCAGAATTTACTTAATATGTTACTAAATATTTAATAAGTATTTGACATATTTTGAATCTTTTTAGAAAACCTAAAGATATTTGTCACTGTAAAAAAAAAATTTCATATCAGTCTCACTTGCTAAATCACACATAGAGTAAGCATTTGTTATTGCAAAATAGCATCTCTTCTTTTCCAGAGAAAGCCTTTAAGCTTTTGGTTGCCGCGCCATTATAGCTGTCCTATAATTTTGTCACAGAATTACAAACAGGCAAACTGAAAAAAGAACAAAGGAAAAATATTTTGGCAGACAATGAATATGGTGTTTTATATAACATGAATGTCATTCCATTGTAACAAAATGATTTAACTACTTGGCTCTTTATGTACATTTAGCATGTGCTCGATTATGTATAAATACCATTACAATTGCTTATATCTATGTGAATGTTTCTTTTTATCGTAAATAGTCTTACAGAAACATTCTCCTAAACTAAATGCACATGGCTACTTATGTATACATTGTTTGTGTGAATTCAAATAATCTTTAATGAATGCCAGTTAATTATAGGTTCTAGCTAATTAAGGTTTTATAGTAATGGTTATTTTTCTGCTGCAAATGTTGTTGCTGCCTCAATTCATTTCAAGGTTCTGTGATTTAGGAGTTTCTTTACAAATGTGTTGCTGGGAATAAAAGAAAATCCTAAAGGAAATTAACCCTGAATATTCATTGGAAGGACTGATGATAAAGCTGAAGCCCCAATACTTCGGCCACCTGATACAGTGGAAAAGATTGAGGATAGGAGGATAAGGGGACAACACAGGATGAGATGGTTGGATAGCATCACCAACTCAGTGGATATGGAAATGTGGAGAAATAGTGCTAGGGGAGCCTAGCACGCTGCAGTCCATGGCATCACAGAGTCAGATACAAATGAGAGACTGACCAACAGTTTATTTTTACGTGATTATATTTTAACTGGATTCAAAATAACATAAAAACACGTTATGGCAAAATATTAAATTTCTTTGATTAGTAAATGAGGGAAATGAAGTTGTAAACTTAGCCTAACTCAGCAAAGAACTGAACACTCAAAATGTACTCTTTGGTTTTTCTACAGGTGGTGGATAATTTTGGCTTTTTCAAAAGTGTCACATAGGAGAAACATGATTCACATAGTGCTCAACATGTGCAAATATTTAGTAAGTGAAATTAACATGAACTAATTATTTTTAATGTTTCCATATTGATCTAATAAACACTAAGGCAGGTTGAATTTAATACAGAAGAGAAAGAACAATGACAAGTATAAAATAAGCTGTTTTAAGATAGGGTTAATATTTTTATCATATGGCTAAATGAATTCCCTCAAGCAGAATTAGTTGCATTGCACTGCTGTTCATATTCCATAGTGGAACCAAAGCAAAACAATCAGCCACGTAGAGGTAATGCAAACCTAACCTCTTTTGGCTTATTAGTGATAAATGTGAATGGTTTAAATTCCTCACTCAGTTTATGTTTTACAAATTATATGACCTTCCTACAGTGAAAGAGTGAGTAGTGATCATTTGACTCTGCAGAATTTAAATTCGTGTGTTTTACTCATTACCCTTGAGGAGGTTCCTTTTGGAAAATGAAAAGAGCAAAGGCAATAAAGTATGAAAAGAGATGTTGCCAGAATACTTTGGGAAGAACCTAAAGCATGCAGACTGGGGTTGAGTTGTGGGGCTTAAGATTCACTGTGAGGACTGAGGACATGACCTAGATTCTCTCCTCCAGGGACTGATTGTGAAACCTCATTCATATGGTAAAATATAAAGGACATATCTAAAGGATACTTTTTTTTTTCTCAATTGCAACAAAATTCGTTTAGATGTATGTTTAACCCACCTCACATCTTCAATCAAAAAAATAAATTAAAAACAAAAATTACCAAAACAAGACCCTTATACAATTTTAGTATTGATTTCTTATAAGAAAAACTAGATCATAACTCTAATTTTACATCAGTCTTTTACCATATTCTGAAGGGAGTAATTCTGAACTGATAAGAGAGAAAAAAAAAGTCATAGAATGTGAGACTAATTATTAATATATTTAATGGGAAAATAAAATGCAATCTGGGTTGCAAGTTCTCTATGAAACAAAAGTTCAGAGTTGTTTGTTAAAATGTATACTGGATAAGTATCAATGTGGGGCTGTATATCAATAGATGTGGTTTTGGTTTAAATACAGCAAACTAGATTCAGGGTTTTCTCATATGTTGATTTGTGTATGGTGAGTTTGAGCAAGCTTCAGGAGTTGGTGATGGACAGGGAAGCCTGTCTAAGGGGTTGCAATGAATGTGGCACAACTGAACAACTTAACTGATTGACTGATACAGATGCCCTCCTGATAAATAAGTTAAAATGCAGCCAGGGTTCCATTCATCAAGTCTCATGTCCTCCTCTGCATGGACAAAAGGGCCATTTTTCTACAACAAAAATGCCTTGTGTTTACCATTTTGTTACAGCTGATCCATAATACCCAGGGGAAGTGCAGTTTCTAATTTATCATCCCGGACCTGGCACCTTTTTCCAATTTTTCTCAAAGACAAAAGCTAGTCTTGACTCAGGCTTAAGTGAAGGGAGCTTCTTAAATCTGGCGAATGTGTATATTGCTCATTTCCACATTCTTTTCAAGACTTCCAGCTTGCTCTTTAATTGATAATGGAAACACTCGTGAGAAACTAACAAGATAGCACATCAACTAGTAACAGAGAAGTTGACTCAGTCAGAAAAGAGTAAGTCTAGTACCATTTCTTAAATGAAGATAGTCTTCAGACTCCATATGCATGATATGGGGTAAGGGACAGAGAGGAAGTCATGGCCACGCCTTCTCTCTGGCAAGGGCAGCTTTCGAGGATTGCTCATTCAGATTTCTGAACAAGTTATGGGTTCCCACATTCAAAATATCTCACTGTCCGGAGCCAGGTACGTTTAAGCCACACTGAGTCTTCAAGTGTCAACTGCAATAGTGCTTTGAATTTTACTAGCCTAAAGCAGTCTCTTTTAGCCTTGGAGTAAAATTAAAAAAAAAAAAAGTGATGTGAAGTGAAAGTTGCTCAGTTGTGGCTGACTCTTTGCGACCCCATGGACTGTACAGTCCATGGAATCCTCCAGGCCAGAATACTGGAGTGGGTAGCCGTTCCCTTCTCCAGGGGATCTTCCAAACCCAGGGACTGAACCCAGATCTCTCTCATTACAGGCAGATTTGTTACCAGCTGAGCCTCCAGGGAAACCCAAGAATACCACAGTGGGTAGCCTATCCCTTCTCCAGCGGATCTTCCCAACCCAGGAATAGAACCAGTGTCTCTTGAATTGCAGGTGGATTCAATAGTGCTCAAGATGACTCTGGTAACAGGGGTAGCCTGGGGGGGGGAGGGGGTGCATTTGCTAGAGTTGGGGAAGGAGTGGAGGAATTTGGGCTTCCCCTCCCCTAACTGAGAGATAGGGGAAAATAGATAGGGATTAGCTGATGGAGTGAAGAAGGAAACGGCAACTCACTCCAGTATGCTTGCCTAGAGAATCCTGTGGACAGAGGAGCCTGGTGGGCTGCCGTCTGTGGGGTCGCACAGAGTCGGACACGACTGAAGCGACTTAGCAGCAGCAGCTGATGGGGAAGGAGACAGAGGCAAATGGGGTGGGTTGTGTAAAGCAGCAACAGGACATTTTATTGGAGTAGAATTAAAAAAAAAAGAGAGACAAGATAGAAACATTTAATAAACATGGAGGTCATTTTCTCTAAACTCACTGCAGTGAGGGAGTGAGGGAGAGCATTACCTTGACTGAGACTTAGCAGTGTTTTAAAAAGGGGAAATTGGAAGTGCTTTTATAGGATTTGGGGATGCAAGCTTAAATAACCCAGTTTAGATCTTCCAGTTTAGAATTGGATGTAGTCATGACCTGTGGTGATGGTCTTGAAGCAAGTCATTATATTGTGTGAGAAGCTAATGCTTTGCCCAGCTGAGCAGAGTACTGTTTCAGATAAATTTCTCTGCAAGAAATTTTTGACGCAAAAATAATAGTAATAATAATAAAGTTCAGTATAGACACACAGTTTTATCTTCCTGAGTGAAGAGCATAGTGAGCAAACTAATTCATGTTGACATAAGTAGTCTTGAGTCCAAAAAAATCATTCCGGGTATGTCAAGGAATCATGTTTTCTTTTATTTTCAGATTTTTGTAAAAGCCTCAATGTATAAATACTTTCCCAAATATAATGTGGTAGCTTACATTTTCCTGATATTTTTGTAAACAGAAGGAGCTCCATTTGACAATTCAATATGTCACATTTTTAACCTTCTTGAAAAGGCAAATGACCCAAATTACATGGAAAATGTTTCACTCAACATCTACAAAGTTCAGCTTAAAAGTAACTTATGTAACAGTAAAAAGTACATTAATATTTAAAATTGTGCTTTATGTTGTGGTCCATGCATGGGTTGGAAAAGAATTTACAGACATGAGGCAGAAGGAGAGGAGAATAAAGTTTATTAGAGTGGGAGATGCTGTTAGAACAGTGGGCCAGCTCAAGGGAGAGCCTGTGTTGAACAGGGGTCCTTAGTCCATTTTTATACCCAGGGTATAAGGAGTGGATAGTGGTCTTGAGGGTCATTTGCTGACTGGATGAGGCACATATACTGAATAGAGAAAGAGTAAGGCAAATACCTTCTCCCTATGGGGTAGAAGGGGAGACAGGTTATACTGCTCCAGAGGACCTGAAATTCCTTAACAGTTACAAAATGGGGGAGGGAAGGATGATAAGGGTCTGGTTTTTCCATTCCTGCATTCCAAGGCCCTCCTTAGTTTTTTTTTTTTTCCTGGTCTTTTGTCCTTTGGACACCACACTTTATAGTAACTTCTTTTTTCCCTGTGGCAAACTTTAACAAAAATATTTGAAGAAAGTTTTTTGTGAAAAAATGACTTATTTTCTAAATAATAGGTATTTAAAAAGTAAGAATTTATTTTTTACACCTTCAGATTAAATTTACTAGTGGATATGTATGTCCATGTATTTATATGGATTTAACTTTGAAATGAATTTTCTGTTCCTTTGTTTTCAAGTGTTTAAATTAATTTACTAAAAAAAATAAAAGGCAGAATAGCACATTTCTTTTTAGTGCTGAATATTATTCCACTGTCAGATGTATATACCACAGTTTATTTATCCATTCACCCTTTAAAAGATATCTTGGTTATTTCAAGTTTGGAAATTATGAGTAAAGCTGCCTGAAACGTTTGTGTGCGGGTTTTTATGTGCACATAAGATTTCAGTTTATTTGGGTAAATACCACGGGGCATAATTGTATCTTATGGTAAGAGTATATTATGTTTTGTGAGAAACTGTGAAAATTTCTTCTAAAATATCTGTAGCATTTTGTATTCCCACTGTCAATGACTGAAAGTTCCTATTGCTTAATATCTTCATCAGCATTTGGTGTGGTCAGTGTTCTGGATTTTGGCTGTTCTAATAGGTGTGTAGTGATATCTCATTGTTGTTTTAATTTCCATTTCCCTGGTGGTATAGATACTGGAGCATCTTTTCATGTGTTTATTTGCCCTCTATGTCTTCTTCATGAAGTGTCTTAAGTCATTTGCCCATTTTTAAATTAGGCTCTTTGTTTTCTTATTAAGTTTTAAGTGTTCTTTTGTTTCTTGGGTAATGGTCCTTTATAGCCATGTCTTTTGCAAAAATGGGCTATCAAGCAATGAAAAGACATGGAGGAAACTCCAATGCATATTAAGTGAAAGATACCAATCTGAAAAAGGTGACATATTGTATGATTCCAACTATTAATATATGACATTCCAGAATATGCAAAACTATGGAAAAGTTAAAGAAAAAAAAAAGACAATTGCCATGAGTTTGGCAGGAGGGAAGAATGGATAAAGGGAGCACACAGGCTTTTTAGGGTAGTGAAAATACTTCATATTACTATAATTGTGGCTATGTACCATTATACATTTGACCAAACCCCTAAAATGTACAGCACCTAGAGTGAATCATAACATAAACTTTGAATGATGATGTTGTTTCAGTGTAGATTACAATGTAGTTGTTAACAAGGGCATTGCTCTGATGTTGATTGGGTAGATGTTGATAATGGTGAAGGGGTTATGGATGTGTGAGGACAGAGGGTGTATGGAAGTTTCCTGCACCC